GCAAGTAAACTAGATTTGTTTGGAGCAGGTGCTTGTTTCAGGCTCATTGACATAATTCCTGACACTGATGTTAAATTAACACAATTTTCAGTGGAATGCCAGGAACTTTTTCTTGAAATGACTTCTACTTACCTGCAGTACCTATGTATGTGCAGTGTTTGTTTTCCATAAGAAAACATATTATTGATGTTAAAAAGATGAATGGCGAGTAACTGACTTACCAGGCATTTATTAGTGAAACCTGCGCCTTACATAACAAAGTTCGGCATCTGTATCGGTCTCTTATTCATTTACTCTCTAAATATTCACTTCTTTCCAGACAAGCCATCTGTTGGGAAACACACTGATGATGCTATTTGTATGCACCGCACGTGCTACACCCCATGCATCAGGCATATTTATCGCCCATATGATGTGTATTGCTGTATATATCATACCTCATATCTCACGTTGTGATGCAGGGGCATGGTATACGCATCAATATTATATGTCAGAGGTGTGTTGATACTAGCCGATGGGAGTCATTGATTCTCTGCTGTTTGAAGCTAGGATATTGTCTATGGTTCTACAGAACTTGCTGATATATCTGTATGTACCCTACTGACAGACCCAGACAGATCTATAAGCTGGGAGTGTACCATCTGTGTTCAGTCACATCCAAATAACTGATGACAAAAGAGCAGTTAAATAGTTATTTTCTCTGCTAGGTATTAAACTGTATTATGACTCATATAATATGTTTGTCGTTTTATCATCTTCCCCATTCAAGGTTCCAGGGCCCACTTGCACAAAGTTATCTTAGCGCTACACTGATCGTAACTCAGTACTCACACATCCACTTTAAATGGTCTTAGTGCAAGTGGGCCAATATATCCAATTATCAGGGGCGGTGGGGTGGCCTAGTGGTTAAAGCGTTCGCTCGTCACGCCGAAGACCCGGGTTCGATTCCCCACATGGGTACAATGTGTGAAGCCCATTTCTGGTGTCCCCCGCCGTGATATTGCTAAAAAGCAGCGTAAAACCATACTCACTCACTCACTCATTATCAGGTGATAAATATATGATGTACTCCTGTGAAGATGTGAAATATATTTCAAGTATATGAAAATGATTATTCACTGTTATATTGCTACTTTGAGAGTTGGAGTAGCCTGATTTCTCGAAGTTAGTCCACAAGGATATATGGTTGTGATCCATTGTGATTTAAGTGGTGATTTACTAAAACTTTTCTTTTTTCATTTTCTGTTTCCATTAGGTGTGCCTTTCAGAAATCAGGTGGGTCCACATGTATTTAGAATAAATGACTGTAGCAAGGATGATGATCTTTTGAAATTTATTGCCAGAAAACAACAAATGTAACCAGTTTTCTGTTATCACTGATATGTCTTCTGTTTAAGATGGCTTTCTTATGTTTCTTTTGTTCTGCTTTCCCAACACCTTATATTAGCAGGGAAAATACCTGAATTATAATGAAATAACATGCCAGGATGGAACTACAATACTGTTAAATGAGGTGTTAAACTTACTGGTGACTTGTTGTCAATGAAATGCAGTAAACTGAATCATTTGTCATTATAGTAATTTGAACCGGAAAATTCAAGTAGTAGTCTGTTTCCTTGGACATATCTGAGACACCTGTAGACATCTTTAATACCAGATTTTCACAGGCTTTGACGTAGATCAAATGTATCAGCTTAAGCTGTAGGGTCTGATGGCCTACATTCACGCTGATGGATGATGTTGATGATGATGATGATGATGCACTGTTTTTGATCGCTTGACATTCACAACACCTGCAGCCATGACAGAAGTCAGCAGATATTAAAGACTGTCACAGATCATGGAAACACTCCCAGATTCACTTTAGGCTTTATGTTTGAGTCAGTTCTGATGTGTCTTCCATTTTCTGGCTACACTAATAGACTATCTCTAAGCTGAAACATCCACTGCAAAGCTCCAGCCTGAAGTTGGAGCACTACACCACCACTAAGCACAGCGAACAGCACAGCATACAACAGCGCTGTTAGCTCTGTGTCATTGATCTGTGTGAAGTACTCCTGTCTGAGGACAACTGTTAGCTTTATGATGCCCAGTCATGCACACAAATCCACACCAATGACAATATACATATTGATTTCATCGTGACCACAAAGGTCCTCGGACTTGCTCCAGCATCAGAGATGAGGTTTAGGCCATGAAGGGGTTTATGTTAAGTGTTGGGTGTTTGAGGCTGGGTCCGATGTTGATGGGAGGGGCAGTCTGCTTGAGCTGATTATGATGCATAATTAGCTTGCTTCTTGGGGATGAACACCTTTGTGGGTTGGGTCAAAATTGTTGGTTAGGCAGGAGTTGCCATTCCTGAGGCAGATTGTCTGTTGATTTGAGGTCTGTGGTATCTGATGTCGTGATTCTGGAGAAGACTAGGCCCACAGTACATCATGCTTGGTCAGCTGTCACAGCCTGTTTCTTGAGCAAAACAGGCCTTTCTTACACCATACATGCTGAAAATTGAACATAAATGAATAGGTAATTACACTTTGGGACCTTGTTGACTGTGTGTCACTGCTCAAGGATAAACTAGAAGGAAAACACTGATTCTATATTTCAGCAATTTTTGTCTGAAAATGATTGAATCAGAAATTAAGAGTAAGATTTGAAACACATTGTCATTGCATTGTCTGGTCCCGACTTTGTTATTTCCATAGCTAGAATATTGATGTATGTAGCATTAAACAATGGACACATCAACATGCACTGATTTTCTTTCATAGTTATCTGAAGATTGGAATAAGATTTCTGACAGTCCCTGTAACAATACTTAATTCATGTTTATGACGGGCCTTTTTCTGGGTTGTCTAGACTTAATTCAATGGTGGATTGTCTAGTTTTCATTCAAAACACCAGAGATGTTTTATCCTCACCTCATAAGCTTGGTTGAATAGCATAGAAGAGCCTGAGTCTTATGACTCTTTTATTTCTATGATTGATTTTCTGAAGTATCTTGTTCAATGCCTAATATGAATTTTCAGCAGTTTCTTTGGTGGCTTAAGTTGCAGACATTTAATGTACAGTAGTGCAAGTGTCGGACCATCGCCAACAGTTAAATATTAATTTAGCGTGTTGTACTTGTAACACAAGGTCCAGACTAATCAATACATGCCATTGTGATGGTGAAGCTTGGGTTTCTGTCGGAGTCAGAAACTGAATATACCGGCTATAAGCACTGTAATTTTGTCATGATAAACAGCACCTTGGTGCCGTTGTACTAAGTAACCATAGTGCTCTGACAGTCGTAAGTCTTTGGTGTGTTAAGGTATGGGGGATGTGACCATCTTAGCACTAAGATCACTTGTAGAATGCCACCCTTGACTCTAGCATTCTGTTTCATCATACAGGATTGCTCTGGGCTAGTTTTTTCAGATAAATGTGAGATAGTGAATGAGGTTAGTTTCACGCTTATTTTAGCACTATTCCAGCAATATCCCAGTTGCAGTCTCCAGAGATGGGAAATGTGGAGAATCGAACCCGAGTCTTTTGCTGACGAGTGAGCGCTTTAACCAATAGGCTACCCCACCACCCAAATGTGCAATAGACTTGCAACATGTGGTTATGCCAATCACCTGCATCATTGTAGACGCTCCTGTCATTTGTACTGACATGTTCCTAAACTACTATTCCAAACAAACCACCCCCTCAATCCATCACACATTACCATTATGTTAGAATGTGTAAAACTCATTCTCAGGTGATAAAACCTTTCCTTTAGACCTAACCTCACTGATAAGATGTACATATTCAATTGAAAAAGTAATAGATTGAAAGAAGTAATGTGTGTAACATGGCAAGTTTGTAAAAATGTATTTTATTGAATATATCGCTGTCCATTTCTTCAGCATCAATCATGGCTGCCAGGCCTGATTTGTGAAACGTGCTGGCTACTGAAACAGAATCCTTCACTGTATATTTATGGCTAATCAATATAGCTGAGCTCTGGGTAAACTGCTTGCCTGAGCTTCTTGAGTTCCCTCAAGTTTTGGGACTTTCGATTTTTTCGAGTACAGTCAATAACAAATTTGCACCATCCCCCTAAGTAATCAGGAATGTCATGGACATATGACAATGTTACATACAAAAAGTGACCTAATTTTCAGGAATATTTCTATTTTTAAGATGTCATTTTCAGTTGTATAAATAATGATATTGTCCATTCTTGGTTATCACAGCAGCATAGCTCTTATAGTTGCCTAGTCTCAAACCAGGTTTTTTCATTAATCATTTAACAATTTGCTGAGCTGGCAAAACTGTTGTTGATACCAGCAATGCATACAAAGCAGTTGTGTTACAATTGTACAGCAGTGAAATGGTTCGGTCTACAGATGTAACAACCAGCAGCCAGGATAATTGATTTCCAATAAAGAAAAACGACAAAAAACCCTTTTCACATATGTGAGACATCTCTGTTAAGAGCAATCAATTGTACAGTTTTGAATCATTATTAAATAGTGATGATACCAGGTGTTCATGAAAAGATAAGCATATCCTGCCCCATTGGTGCCATTGCCAAGTTAATTGTAACTTTGGATATATGAAATTGAAGCACTCTAAACCTGTTCTCATCTATGTGATGTAAGACACTAAACCTACCCTGAATCTTGCACTCTAAACCTGTTCTCATCTATGTGACGTAAGACACTAAACCTGTTCTCATCTATGTGACGTAAGACACTAAACCTGTTCTCATCTATGTGACGTAAGACACTAAACCTACCCTGAATCTTGTTAGATATCATAGAACTAATGATAGAAACTCAGGAAAAGATCCAATTCCTAAAATGATTCTTGAGCCAAGTTCAGGAAAAGGTTATTGGCACTGAGTAGACCTCAGTGTTCAGGAGAATTTAATCAATTCTTACTTACTTATTTTATTTGTATTTCCCTCTGATGATATAATGTGCATGAAATTATATCCAAGGAACTTACATTGTGACTGTATGTTTCAGGCACTGAGCAAGCACCAGATCACATACAAGAAACACCATGAGAGCGGTATCCACCATGAAGAGGCATTTCTACAAGAGACGGTTACCCGTGAAGAGGGTTACCGAGCATCCATCCATGAACTGGAGGCTGAACTCAAGTCCTGCAAGCAGACAATGGACCGTTTCGCTGTGGAAAACAAGAACTTTAACATTCAGACGAATGAGCATCAAACCCAGATTGACACCCTGGAAGCTCAACGCAACCAGCTCAGGCATGAGATCAGGGAGTACAAGGTTCGGGAGAATCGGGAATCTGACTGATTATGCTGAGCTTGAGGATGAGAACATTGTGTTGCAGAAGACCGTTTCTCAGTTGAAGCAGAGCCAGGTGGAGTTTGAAGGGATGAAGCATGAAACCAAGAGGCTTCAGGAAGAAGCAGAGGATCTCAACATGCAGCTCATGGAAACAATGAACTTGAAAAGGATCATTGAGAAAAATCTGGAGGAAGCTTTGAATTCCTTGCAGCAGGAACGGGAACAGAAACATGCCTTGAAGAAAGAGCTGGATCAAAGGATCAACCAAGAGTCCATGTTTAACCTCAGCAATCTGGCACACTTTGGTGGTCTAAGTGATGGTCTGAAGCTCACAAACAGCATGCATTCAGAGTCCCAAGATTCCGGGGCAGAAGAGGATGGAGAGGTCCATGATCACCCTGCACTCAAGAGGATAGAAGCTGATTTTGCCAAGAGAGAGGGTATGAACGTGCCTACTAAACCTCGGCCAGGAGTGGTGAATGACATTCTCAGTGAGATTCAGGTGACAGAGGTTCGTAAGTTGGAACAGCTGCTGGAGCAGAGTGACACAGAGAAGATGGAAGTCCAGAGGGCTCTGGATGAAGCCAGGAAGTTAATAGAAGATACACAACGGGACCTCATGGAACAGAAGGAGAGAGCAGATCAGTTGAAAGAACATATCAGTGCTGTGGCTAACATCAAGATAATGCAGGCAAGCACAGACTCTATCAAAGATCCTGAACTGGAAGCAGAGATCGAGAATGAGACTGACCCTGACAAGCGCGCTGTTCTAATGCTGAAGAAGAACCTTACTCAGAATGAAAGGAAATACAGTACTGCTTTGAGTGAGATAAGTGCCCTTCAGGCTGAAATTAACAGACTCCAAGACAAGAACTTGCTCCATGGAGATCCAAATATTGAAGCTGCTTTGTCCGAACTTCAGATGAAGTGCATGCAATATGAAGAAAACATCAAGGACCTGGAGAGGGACTTGAAGTCTATGACCTCTCTTGCTGGTGATGCTCACGGCAGCCTTACCGCCACCCAGGACGACCTTGTGAAGGTCACAGAAGACCTTGCTCAGTTGTACCACCTTGTATGTGAAGTGAGCAAGGAGACACCAAGTCGAGTAATGCTGGACCATGCCAAGGGAACAGCCACGACCCGTAAGGACATCAGCAGGGAGAGCAGCGAGGAGCCAGAAGAAAAAAATGGAAAGGTAGAAAATGGTGTTCACGAAACAAAGGTTAAGCGTTCCAGGAGAAACAAGGATGCTGCAAATACAGCCCTGGTTAATGGTGATGTGAAGGGTGATCCTACCTCGTGTACAGGACTGTCTGAGACAATTGTTGACCAGGTGAAGTTCCTCAAGGTCGCCATCGACCATTTGGTGGACAACATGTCGAGTCAGCAACAACAGGGTGGTGAGAATGATGACATGCAGGAACTTCAGGAACAGGTGGTCAAGTTGAAAGCTATGCTTTCCACCAAGCGGGAACAGATTGCCACACTCCGAAGTGTTCTCAAAGCCAACAAGTCCACTGCAGAGGTGGCGCTAGCCAATCTTAAACAAAAGTACGAAAATGAGAAAGTTATAGTGACGGAGACAATGATGAAGTTGCGAAATGAGTTGAAGGCACTGAAAGAGGATGCCGCCACCTTCGCCTCCCTGCGTGCAATGTTCGCTCAGCGGTGTGACGAGTATGTGACGCAGCTGGATGAGCAGCAGCGCCAACTGGCTGCTGCAGAGGAGGAAAAGAAGACGTTGAACTCTTTATTACGTATGGCAATCCAGCAGAAGCTGGCTCTCACACAGAGACTCGAGGACCTAGAGTTTGACCGTGAGCGCAGGAATATGACAAGCAGGCGACAAGGCCGCAGCAAAATGGGGACACCCAAAGTAAGTCACAACTACAATCCAAGAGTATGGTCAAAACCGAAGAGCGTACCAAAACTTCAGGAGAGATCGAGACTATTAGAGTAGGGATGGGTGATTGTGGCTGCCCAAGTGAGGGTAAGTCCAAATTTGAGAATGATAGCACATATACGGAATTGCTTGATGCATCATGGGATGGGATTCATATCATTCTTACATCCTCCTCGAGTGTTAGTTTAGGTAGAACCTAGTTGACATGCCATGACTTTCTGAACTTCTATTTAACACAAAATCTTTCAAAGTCTCCTATCTTGCTAATTCACTTTCACTTTCACTAAATTGGAAACAAAGTCCTACACCAAATTTCACAAGTGATTATTGCACTTTTCGTATCAAATACATTCATCTGAATCTTTGAAAATGAAATGGCCGAGCTATTTGAAACATGGCTGTTCCCAACACAGCATTCACTTGACTCACAGTGATAGAGTTAAGTTGAAACACCTCTGGCAGATAAATATTAGTGTAGACAGGTAGGCAGAATCTGAATGAAGTTTTGGTATTGAGTTTGTTCCTTGCAATGTGGATGATTTGTGTGTGTCATGACTGGCATTTTGACGTACACTACTGACAAGGCATGGTGGCAGGTCATGGAGGACTTAAGTCAATAATAACATTAATAATAATGAATTTACTATGTAGGGGCCTGTTACAAATTTCCTGTTGAGTTTGATTTGATTTGATTTCATTGACATGTACAAATCCTCTCCATTAGAAACATCATTAAGCATGTTGATTTGAAACAGGTTTGGGATTGTTCATTGTCTTTGTAGTTAATTTTGAATGACTTGTTTATTTTTAATGTGAATGAAAACTTTGCTTTGTTAAATGAGGAAGTCTAATTTATTTTTGTTGATTTGTGAATTGTATAGTTTTACACCTTACTGTTTAATTTTATTGAAAATTTACAAAATTGATCAATGTTATTGCTATTACTAATAGTAAAGAATGATGTTGTTTATTATCTGTTGTAACCCGTTAAATATGTGACTGAAGCCATTGGATAACTACATGAAGTTGCTCGATATGTTAAATCTGGTTGGATCTAATAATGCAGGGAAAAGTATCAGAAATGCTTAGATCTTCAACAAGGCATGCTGGGATAGATTAGATTTAGATGATCTTTTAACCGTTCTCAGTGGGACAACTTCATAAAGTTTTGATGATTTTGGATACCTTGTTTACAACTTTCAGTATATTGCATATAAATTCAAACTGTCTCTCCCTGAAGCGATTTAATTAACATTATGGAAAAGTTAATCTGACCAGATAATATAAGGGAAATTTAAAACAAGGTCGATTTTGGTTAGATTATCAGATCTTCTGCACCTGTCTTGTCAGTGGTGTACAGCGCTTGCTTTACAATTGTTCCAAGCCGTGAGACAATATGCCCACGAAGGAGAACTCAGGTCGAAGGATCTGTTTGATAATATACTAACACATGCTCTGTGTCTGTGTGTCTTTAATCTCTCCACATTGGCTCTCTTGCTGATGGAATCTATATTTCTATACTAATTGATTGTCATGTCTCAAAGATGTGCTGAGAATTGAAGATGTGCACAGTGCCTCGGTCAGTGTTTACAGTGATATGTGTTGTATCTGGATCAACTCATGGACACGACAATTGGTAGTAAACTTGTCAGTTCACAGCTGGGATTCCGTACAATTCCTTTGTAATTTCATTACTTCAAAAATTGTTCTTTATTTATTAAATTTGGAACATTTATTACATTTGACCTTTGATGGTTCAACTAATTTGAATAGAATATTACCTTTTGTATGTCAAGTGAAATACTTAACTCAACAACAAAATGTATAAGAATTTTGAAATTGAAAGAATGAATTCCTCTCTGGTATCAGAAATAATATATAGACTGTTTTTTGGTCCTCAAAATTTAGCTTATCTACTTTCAATTTCAGTATTTAAAATTTTCTTTTTGTATGTCCTGGTCCATTTATTTGTAAAAGTTCAGATTGTGGTTGTTTAAAAACAAACCGGCTATGTAGCATTTTTGTGGTTGACATTCTCTTTGAACTGACAAGTCAAGGATTGATCACAGACATACGGACATGGTAAGTTGCAAGGTCAGAGAGTGAGTTTGAACTTTGTATGCCATGTTTAAATTTCAAACTTTTCAATTTTGCAGGGTTTTACCAGTAAGCGTCTGCTACCGACAGGTTTTTACCTCGCTTCTTTGCATGATTACGCTTAAGTCTGTGCAGCACCTTTCCAATTACCTGTATCCTCTTGAGATGTTTTGTAGGCTTGATACATATCCTGACTGTTGAACAACAACTTCTCATAATATCTTTCACTCTTTGGTCGTGGGGTGGTTAAAATATGTTTAGTTATGTAACCAGGGCCTAGATTTTCGAAGCTCTCTTTGCGCTAAGATAGTCGTAAGTGCCATGCATTAACATGAACTTACGACTATCTTAGCTCTAAGAGAGCTTTGAAAATCTAGGCCCAGTATTTTGCTTTTAGAGTGTATATATTCTGTTATTGTATTAATTTTCTGCATGGTTGGATGTATCTGTTATAATTTGTATTAATTCATGAATTTGGTTTAGATAAGTTGTAAGGTTAATATTTGTAAGATATGTAAAGATGTTTAAAATATTATATTTCATATAAATTGAGAAGGTCTAGTGAATCGTGTTAAATGATTCATATGACTTGGAAATATGTATCAATGCCTTGAGAATCTTCCAAAATGTATGAGTGGAAATTCAAATTGATGGTTATAAGGGAGACAATCCAAGGATACAGGTTTTTGTTAAGAGGTGTTCTAATTTTCTTGTGATTTATTTTACAAGTCTGTCTTTCTGTCATAGAAGTATTTAAAATTAAAGTACTTCTCAAAATTCTTACAAATTTGAACCAAATGTCAATATTTTTTTCTGTAAAATTATTCATTTAAATTTCGAGGAAACATTTGCATTAGACGAATCAAAAAGATGACAATGTATTTGTGGTGACGTATGTCCTGTGATCAGCCTTGTGATTGTGAATATTTGTGGATGAAAACTATGTATTTTATTTCATAACTCAAGAGATTTACTTAAAAGCATATCGCTGCTATTGAATGAGAAGTTTCTTGACTCTGATTGGTCACCTCTGGACCAATGATGTTCCCCCAACTCTGGGTGCTGTTCACTTTTATTTGCATTTTACCACTGTCGATGTTAGATGTGAGGTAGTTTTGTCCTGCCAGTTTGATGATGACCATTTTTGTCTAGCGCAAGCATCGTTCCTGGCACGAAGTTGTGACCAAAAAAGGCTTCTGCAGATTGTTCCCGTTGATTTTAAGAAGTGCGACACATCCCCTGTTTTTAGTTGTTTACAACATCTTTATGTTGATTATTTCTTCATATCACTGTGTGCTTAAGACATTCCAGTCACTTATTCATCCATTCAACATTATCTTAATATATACACCTGGAAGAATGTTAAGCATTGCTTGCTATATAATTTCAAGTAAAATGGACGATTTTAGGTGTATAAGATTTCTGTCTCCTGACATCATCTTTAAATTGAGTAACTGAAATTGATTATGTAATGTTTAGTGATTGATCCATTGTAATAATATTTGTGACTACTCTTTGGGGCGATGGGGTAGCTTAGTGGTTAAGGCGTTGGCTCGCCACGCCGAAGACCTGGGTTCGATTCCCCACATGGGCACAATGTGTTAAGCCCATTTCTGGTGTCTCCCGCCGTGATATTGCTGGAATATTGCTAAAAGCGGCGTAAAACTAAACTCAGTCAGTCAGTCAGTGTGACTACTCTTTGATTCCCCATGTATGTCTCCTATCTTTGCCAGGAATAACTGCAAAATTGCTGATGTAGCATTAATCAATATTCACACACTCACTTGTACTCATATCTCATGTTCCTTTTCTGACAATCTATACACTAATAGATGCACTTTGAAACCCCATAGACCCATAAATATTCGGGTTGGAATTGGTCTGCAGCAACCAATGCTTGTCATAAGAGGTGACAAACTTGGTCGGGTGGTCAGGCTCGCTGACTTGCGTAGATCGATGCTCATGATGTTGATCACTGGATCGTCTGGTCCACGCTCGAGTGTTTACAGACCATCGTCATACAGCTGGAATATTGCTAAGTACGGCATTAATAAACAAATAAACATGCAAAATCTTTTTCTAAAGTTACATCACTTGGTGTCGGTGATATGTTAGACATTATCAATATGATGTATATTCCCAAAAGGTCATGAATTTCTAGATGTATGAAAAGTAGTACAGTTAGTGCTTGATTTGTTCCAGGTGTATTTATTAGTAATGTGATAATAATCTTATGTAATGACCTTGCAGTTGACTGTTATCATGGTCTAACTGAATTGTAGCCATGGTCTAACTGAATTGGGGCGGTGGGGTAGTCTAGTGGTTAAAGCGTTGGCTCGCCACGCCGAAGATGCGGGTTCGAATCCCCACATGGGTACAATGAGTGAAGCCCATTTCTGGTGTCCCCGCCGTGATATTGCTGGAATATTGCTAAAAGCGGCGTAAAACCAAACTCAGTCAGTCAGTCAGTCAGTCTAAATGAATTGTAGCCACACAGTGTATTATAGTCATGGTCTAAATGTGAATTAATCCTGGTCGAGCTGCATTGTTCCCGTTATCTATGTGAATGGCAGCCCTGGTACAACAGTAAAATATGCACTATCATATCAAGATGTTTTAAAGTACGAAGTTTGTTTATCGTTGAAGTCAGAGTTGAAGTTTACAATCTCATTGTTAGATGATTCAGGTTGCAGAATGAAATTCCACTGTTGAAAGTATTTGTTTACTTAATGAATCTACACTTGCAAAGACAACTGCAGCAGGATAACCATGGCAACTGTTTATTGTGGAGCAGTTCCCTGGCAACAACAATCTGCAAGGGTAGACTATGTAAACAGTAGATCAGCCACTGTCTTCACCTGGGACAGGTGTAGGGAGGGGTAGACATGCTATAGACAGCAGTGGACAGAGGTAGACAGGGGTAAACAAGAGTCACAGAGAGTAGACAGTCAGTGGACAGGAGTAGACAGAAGTCACAGACACTAAACATACAGTGGGCAGATGTAGGGAAGGGTAGACAGGCAGTGGACAGAAGTCACAGACACTGGACATACAGTGGACAGATGTAGGGAAGGGTAGACAGGCAGTGGACAGAAGTCACAGACACTAGACATACAGTGGGCAGATGTAGGGAAGGGTAGACAGGCAGTGGACAGAAGTCACAGACACTAGACATACAGTGGGCAGATGTAGGGAAGGGTAGACAGGCAGTGGACAGGGACAGGGGAAGACATACAGTAGACAGATGTAGGGACAGGGTAGACAGGCAGTAGACAGGAGTCACAGACAGTAGACAGGGAAGTCACAGTAATAGATGTGGGGAAGGGTAGACAGGCAGTGGACAGAAGACACAGACACTAGACAAGAGTCACAGACAGTAGACAGGGAAGACCGTAATAGACAGACAGTGGACAAGGGAAGACTGGAGTAGATAGACAAGAGTCACAGACAGTAGACAGGGGAAGACAGTAATAGACAGACAGTGGACAAGGGAAAACTGGAGTAGATAGACAGGAGTCACAGGCAGTAGACAGGGAAGACAGTAATAGACAGACAGTGGACAAGGGAAGACTGGAGTAGATAGACAGGAGTCACAGACAGTAGACAGGGGAAGACAGTAATAGACAGACAGTGGACAAGGGAAGACTGGAGTAGATAGACAGGAGTCACAGACAGTAGACAGGGGAAGACAGTAATAGACAGTGGACAAGGGAAGACTGGAGTAGATAGACAATAGTCACAGGCAGTAGACAGGGGAAGACAGTAATAGACAGTGGACAAGGGAAGACTGGAGTAGATAGACAATAGTCACAGACAGTAGACGGGGGAAGACAGTAATAGACAGTGGACAAGGGAAGACTGGAGTAGATAGACAATAGGCACAGGCAGTAGACGGGGGAAGACAGTAATAGACAGTGGACAAGGGAAGACTGGAGTAGATAGACAAGAGTTACAGACAGTAGACAGGGAGAAGTAAGGAGTAGACATACAGTAGACAGGAGTCACAGACAATCGACAGGTAGTTGACAAGAGTCAAAGACAGTAGGGAGGCAGTGGACAGGGGTAGTCAGAAAATAAGCAACGTCTGCTTCTGAATGAAGAACTATCCATCATCAGTGCATGTCATGGAAATAAATGGGCCTTGAACTATGTAATGTTTAGGGATACATGGTTCCGTTCGTGTGGAAATGTGTTTGGCTATTTGTGATTTTGTGGCAAGTCTGTCCTAGTGGTTTTTAGGCTGTATAACTCAGAAGAGCTTTGAGTATCAGTTGTTTTGTGCCCTGTGACCATTCCTATGATGCACTGTGATTATTTATTTCCTTCCAGGAACACAAGGTGACAGCGATAAGATCATGTGTAACATTGTTGTCTGTGAACTTACGGAAACAGCTGATGATAGCCCAAATAACTGTTAGATAAACTGATTAGGTGAGATTATAAGCCATAAGAGCATTCATATGTTAGGCACTATGTTGACTTCAATTTCCATGGATACTGAAAGCTGTATTAAGTCAGATGAATATGCTATATCTTCCTACTGGGACACAAAGCCTCAGTATGAGGATATATAAAGCTATATTCACTTGCTAATCATGAGGGTATACAAAGCTATATTCACTTGCTAGGATATGTCATCAGATGTTGATATTCTATTTAAGGGTTTGATAGCTAAGATATTACAGCTAATGGGTATTCATGAGGTATTGAAAGGTATTTGAAAAACTGCTGCTCATGGGATTGTAAGTGGCTGTATGATATGACAGTGATGAAGTGTTGAACATAGTTTTACAATGACTGAAACTGACATGCTATGTGTGTTATGAAGAAGTGCAACAGTGTTACTGTTTGCATCAGTGTAATGAGGAGAATGACTCATCCTCACTCAGCGCCAACAGCCACTGCCGTAGCCGCACTGCAGTAGAGTGAATCATACATTGCTCTCTCTCTGCCACACACTACACCTACACAAAGTACACAGGTGGTGAAGGCTGACTGCCTGTATTTACCTTGTCTTCATCATTGGTCACACTAGGTCATATTCTGGGCTAAATGCCTATATTTACCTTGCCTTCATCATGGGTCTGGACTTGGGACACAGGCTGCCTGGTGTGGGACAACTGTCTCTATTTACCTTGTCTTCATCGTTGGTCACCACTTAGGTCATATTGTGGGTTAAATGCCTATATTTACCTGACCTTCATCATTGGTCTGGACTTGGGACACAGGCAGCCTGGTGTGGTATAACTGTCTGTATTTACCTTGTCTTCATCATTGGTCACCACTATATTCTGGGCTAAATGCCTATATTTACCTTGCCTTCATCATTGGTCTGGACTTGGGTCACAGGCAGTCTGGTGTGGGATAACTGTCTGTATTTACCTTGTCTTCATCATTGGTCTATATTCTGGGCTAAATGCTTGGGTCACAGGGGTCAGGCCTGGTGTGTATATAACTGTCTGTATACCTGGTCTTCATCATGGTCACACTGTAGGTTTATTGTTTCTCATTGGCCTAAATGCCTATATTTACCTTGCCTTCATCATTGGTCTAGACTTAGATCACAGGCTGCCTGGTGTGGGACAACTGTCTGTATTTACCTTGTCTTCATCATTGGTCACACTAGGTCATATTGTGGGTTAAATGCCTATATTTACCTTGCCTTCATCATTGGTCTAGACTTAGATCACAGGCTGCCTGGTGTGGGACAACTGTCTGTATTTACCTTGTCTTCATATTAGGTCATATTCATAGTGTTAACACCAACTCTGTTTCAACTGATGTTTCAATCATTTGTGGCAAAGCGGTTAGTGCATTTACACTACATGTACTTTTCAGGGTTTGATTCCGAACGGAGTAGCTATGGATATCGTTGATGTAAACACCTAATAGCCTTTCCTGATTGTGACACAGCTAAGACATTAGTGAAAAGAATCACACAAGACATTCCTCACCCTCTTCTAGACAAACTGGCTACACTTGAATTAGATTCATTTTTCAATTTATTCTTAATTTCAATTCAGTCTTAGAGACAGACTTCATCCCCTCATCTTTGTATCACTCTGTTTTTCTCTCGTCCCTCCCTCTCCTCTCACCATGATGACAACTAGCCAAATCTGAGCATTCGGACGTGTGGGCAGTCTGTCTAGATAGCCTGCTGTCCTTGAGTGCTGTGATGAAAAACCCATCGAGACAGCGTTTACAGCTGATATAATGTCATCCTTTCTCTTTACTCCTGTTCCTTGTTTGTTGGATGGAGTGACCCTCAAGTGGCTAAAGATATTGAGATACTCATAACAATAATAATAGAATTACTACGCATAAAAATGATTTTTACGAATGTTTACATCCGGTTGGATTCCAGGTTAGAATTCATCACAAGGAAACCATGCTCATGATATGAACCAGGCTCGACTTTCTACAAGGTTGCTTGCTTAGAACTCACAACCGACAAACATCCAAAACCAATTTAAATTTGAGCCACTACTGATACCAAGTAAGAATCGTAATTAGAATTGGGGAGTAAAGATTCTGGTGTCTTCCGCTACGATATTGCTGGAATGTCCCCAAAACTTTCCTGAATATTTTTTTGCAGTTTTTTAAAATATCCAACATGAATACTGAAAGCTTCTAGTGGGTGTGAGTGTGTGTATGGATGATTGTGAATGATATACATGTACTTATGTAAAAATCCTGGTCATGTAAACACCTAGAATGAGATAAATTGAAACATGTTGTACTTTTTCCAGGTATAATAAATTTTAAAAAAAGAAAGAAGAAAAAATAGATATTGCTGGAATATAGCTAAGAGAGGCATAAAACCAAACTCACTCACTAGAGAGTGAAGACGCAATTGAATTATGCTATTGGTATTTTCCTGTTGTTGTGAGTTCTTCAACTCAATGATTCAGAAAAAAAATTCCATTGATTTGAACAACACAATACAGGTTCAAGGCAAATAGTATGTTTAAATTCTCAACTCGGCTTGAATCTGTGTCCCATGATGCATGCACAGGAAGTTAAAGGAATCGTGGGAGGAGATCGTGTCTCATGTCACGACCCTGGACCGATCTCTAATTAGTAGGTCAGGGACAAGGAAATAGCTGGTGTAAACAATGATGTTCGTGTCAAGCACTGAATTGGGGCTTCTAAAAATCCTTCATAACAAGACAATGTACTAGGTGTGTAATATAATGAGTACAGATATAATTTGCTCTATCGCAAGATAAAGTAGGTAACTATGCCTGTTTTTCAAAGGAAGTGTTCAACTTTTTACAACCATGATGTAGTTTCATGAAATCACAACATTGAAGAGTCTTGTCTAATGTTAGTGCAAAATATTTCAGATAAATATTTAATATGTTCAAGAAATATTATTGTTACAAGCATTATCTTAATAATGTTGTGAGATCAATAAAAGATATCCAAGTATCTAACCTATGACACTGATGCTACTATCCATCAAACTCAACTACATAATGAGAATTTTTGCAATTTAATGTTATCCTGACAATTTTTTTACACTTGCTGCCATCCAAACAATTAAATATTTATTTGTACATCATATTATCCTAACATAATTTTTAGTCATACTATTCAAAATGTTATGTACATACTCAAGAACTAAATATTACTTAATGGTACCACCCTAACTACTAATTCTAAAGTATGACGTTTTCCCAACTGAACAGGCCACGTGAAATTGCTCTTACTCATCAGGCAGTAAATTCTGTTATCCTAAGAATCTTCATATACTGGTTCTCCTACTTTGTGGTAGACATGGCAGGGTGTGTTGAAACTCTCGTAAAAGCATATTTGAAGTTAACTGTGTCAATGAATAAATTTGTCCAGCATAAATAGCGAGAGTGAATTTGGGTCACAGGTAATGCTTTCCTTCAGTGTCAGTTGGTGCCAGGTATTATAAATATGTCTGTATGAAAGATAGGCAGAGCGGAATTTGTGAGGAGGTTGTCCTTTTGTCATTAACAATGTTCTGTGTTGATGTTGTCAGGCGTACTAACTGCAGGGGATTCATGCAGTGTAAGTGGCGGTGGGGTAGCCTTGTGGTTAAAGCATTCGCTCGTCACGCCGAAGACCCAGGCTCAATTCCCCACATGGGTACAATGTGTGAAGCCCATTTCTGGTGTTCCCCACTGTGATATTGCTGGATTATTGCTTAAAGCGGCGTAAAGTCCAACTCATTCACTCCTATATATAAAGTGCAGTAAAGCGCACCAAAGACGTGGGTGGGTTCGATTCCCCACATGGGTACAGTGTGTGAAGCCCATTTCTGGTGTCACCTGATATTGCTAAAAACTAAAATGACAAGCTCATGATTCACTATATGGTCACATTGGTTGGTCATGCAGTGTAAGGTTCAGTGCCAGGCTCCTAAGGTTGGAGTTTGAATCTGAGATTGGTCCAGATTCTTTCAGTGCCTCAGACATGTTTGAGGACCCTGCCTGAATGTGGTAATTATCTGCAACCTGCGGCCCATTGGATGTTTTCCTCCCACATTTCGCTGACATGCTGTGAAATGCTGTTGAGAGTGGTGTTACTGCCTGTTAGGGAGACCGGGGAAAGGTCACTGCCACTCACATTCCCCACAGCCAATATCTCGTACCTGATGCCTGTCGTGAGCCCAGGGCAGGACAGGATCTTTAACATGTATAAAGACGAGGTGATAAGTGCCACTTACCTGCAAAGCAGAAAAATGCTCACCCCAAAAATACTGTTTGGCTCAATCACCATTTATTTATTTATATATTTTATTACTTAAAACTAAACTTGAAGGTATTCCTGGTTTAACAGCTGTCTCAAGTGTTCACATGAAACTTCATATGTTTATTTTATCTTAAAGGGGTGGTTGGGTAGCCTAATGGTTAAAGCATTCGCTCGTCACGCCGAAGACCCAGATACAATTTCCCACATGGGTACAATGTGTGAAGCCCATTTCTGGTGTCCCCTGCTGTGATATTGCTGGAATATTGCTAAAAGCGGCATAATTCCATACTCGCCCACTGTTGTATTTTAAGGGTTTATCATTTCACCTTTAAGAAGCAGGAGTCTGGCCTGTGGCTTGTCTGGCCTCAGTCCTCAAGGTCTTCCACTGTTGCAACTCGAGCCACAAGCAGTGTCAATCTCATGTTATACCTCCATTTATATCATCCTACTGTTCTCCTGGCAGGTTAACTCACACATATGGGATCTGAAAGTGTGTCCGGGATCTTACATTTCCATGTTTCACTGATACTGTAACATGTTAGTTTTCCTGTTTATTGACAAATAAATAACTGTTTGGTTTATGGATCAACTTTGCAATCTTCATATCTATAGTCAAGTAGGTGGTGGACCACCCTTCTAAAGAGTGGCTGATAAATCTCAGTGCTTTTAAGATTCTCGGGTTTTTTCAGTGTATGTATGCCAATAAATATTTTACATCTATTTCTTGACGTGTACATGAAGTATGTTTGAAATAAAATTGTTGATACATGTTCCAAATTATTTGGGTCAGGGTCAGGTGGTTGTAAGTTAGACATAACACTTTCCCTTGTTTACTTTTAGAGGTTTAAAACGCATGGATTCAGGTTTTAGTTCTCATAAAAACCCCATCCTCGATAATTGGGCTGAGCCATAGATGCATCCATGGTGCTAGTGGAGATTTGTTACCTCCCTTTGCTGGCGCCGCATTCTCACAGTGGCCAGTCAGCTGCCGCCGCGTTACAACCAGTGGCCAAAGAGAGCGGTCGCAGCTGCGAAGGTTTGTTCGCAGTGCGAGATTTTGGGGAAATTCATACAGACAAATTGACAGGTCTGAAACCTTCAACAAATATATGCAAGAACCCCTTCTACCTCTTTCAGAGTACCTCTGCAGCAATTGTGTTGTCAAGTTTAATCGGTTAGATAAAAGAATTGAAAGTGAGTTGTGATTGGTACGCTCAACTTCCCAGCGTAGACACCTGATTGGATGAAAAGCCAGCCAAGGGAGGTAATAACATCATCGGGCCGAGCCATAGATGCATCCAGGGTATAGTGGAGATTTTATCGGACCGTATAACCTGGAGATTATCGAGGATGAAAACCCCCACAAACATGTTTATCTCAAACATTGTAATGTTGATAAGTCATGAATTTAAAGAATTTTTTTGACATGAGTGGTGTATCACAAGTTAAATTTACAACTTTGTGTTTTCTGCAATTTAATCTGCTCTTCTTGAAGTCCATGTTCAAATGTGAATGAAAATATAGACTTACAAGCAAGTCTTCACCATCAGCTCATGGTGTTCCTTTGATATTCGAAGTGTTGGGTGTGGACCCAATTGTCTTGTCTGTGCATGTACTGTGTAGTGGCATGTGATTAAGTGAATTATTGACCTATTTTGTGGTATACCCATCATGCACCTACTGGTTACCTCCCTTGCACAGGATGCATGATATGAATTGTGTACAGATTGAACCTCTTGGTGAATAAACTGACATATCTGTCAATGAGCTTTTCAAACAAGAGACATAAATCCCATAGCTACTGGTACAGTGTTCAATACAGAGGCTAATCAGAGGACCACTTTTCTCAAGTGAAAACATTGATATATACCTGGACAAAAGTGTAACACTGCTTTTTGGTAAAGTTATATTAAAAGTTTAATTTTTGTTTGAATGTGACCTTTTTCAAATTTTATGTCATACATTTTTTTTTTTCTATAATGTGACATTCACACTGAAATATAAACTCTTAACTGTTCACTTTCAACATTTTTTGTGACTATTCCCAACATTTTTTGTGGCTATTCCATGTCAGTAGTAATAGTAATTTCTCTGCTTCAGTGTATTATGTGAAATAGTACTTGTAAAAATCTATACGTCTTGAACCAGTCTTTATCTTTGACATCTTGGCCATTTGTCAAAATGATTAGATGTAGATATCTAAAATAAATAAGTCCATAATATTCTGCTCCAAAGAAGTTAAAGAACGTGCAATTCTGTCATGTGACCATGGGAGCGATGGGATCACCTTATGGTTAAAGTGTCCATTCGTCACACTGAAGACACGGGTTCGATTCCCCACATGGGTACAATGTGTGCAGCCTATTTCGGGTGTCCCCTGCAGTGATATTGGTGGAATATTGCTAAAAGCGGCGTAAAACCACACTCACTCACTCACTCATGTGATCATGGTTAATGTTTCATGCCCAGACAGATTCACTGCAGTAATATCAGGTTTTCTGTAGCATTTTGAGTAGTATCTATGAAGATGTAGAAGGGTTGATGTTTAACTTCTTTCCAGGTGTATAAATCAGGTATTTGTCATGCTTTCTGTAGTAATATTCATTAACATCATTTGTGTAGTATAAATGAAGAGATGGTGTTTCAGGTCTCTTTCAGGTGTATAGTCAGCTATTTGGGCTGGTATTTGTTCAAGGTAATTGACAGGTGATTGGACAGTTGTAAGGAAGTAGAGTCAGGTGGTAGTTTGGTTCCTTGTGTACCAGGGTCTTAGACCAGATTGAGTGGGACGTTCTCTACATGATGTTACGCTGCAGATGTACATGGGCCTCACTACCGTGTGATAGGCACTTGACACCTGTGTGATAGGCACTCACAGAAGACAGACATCCATGTGGAACATTTTGTCTTGCACTGCTTTTAGAGACTGCATTTAGTTAGTTTTTACTTCAACAACAGTACTGTATTTATTAAAATTGTAGTTGTTTTTATATAGAGAAGAGTATGTGTTTACCTTTGAACAATGTATTGTGAACTTATATATTCCTATTGGTTAAATTTTTAAAAGCAACAAGAATTAAATAGAAAAGAGGATGCTATGACTGTTATTGTGGTTACTAGTATATTTCATATTAATCATAAATATTAATATTGTTCTGTGCTTGGATGCTTTGCTGTATTTGTATAACAAGTGGTCTGATGTATTTAGAAATAATCCAATAATGATATTGTTGTTATTTTATTGATTTACTGATTTTTTTCTTTGTTTTTCTCAGAGCTGATGTCGTGTAGCCCTGGCAGCTGCAGCAGCGAGGTCATGACCACTAGTCTCATGGAGGACAAAATGCTGGAAGATCACAAGATGTAGACAGCCTGTACCCCCTGTATGCTCATATGGACTTGTCCCCTGCTGGGACAGAGCCCTGCCATTCACCACATACAGGGGTGTTGACATCATCCTCATATACCTGTGACTTTTCGTGTGGAACTGTCCTTTCAACCTGAAATGGAACATAGACTGATCTCATTGTGGGATTGGGTTGTGCCATCCTTGATATTAAGGGGTGTCAGGATATGAATGTCACTTCAAGAAATGCACTTGCCCTTATCCCTGTATTTGAAATGTTCCAGTGGAACAAATTCACTGTTGATGATGGAGTACAGGGACGATGGCTGTGCAACGGGTATCCTTCATAAGGATATGTTCCCACATAAACTTGGACAAGAGAAAATTCCATTTCTGTCTCAAGAGAAAAGACTTTCCGAACGCGAGACTTCCACATGAATCACGTGACAGAGACGCACTACTAAGTGACTGCTCCACACCAACCAAAGCGATAACACTTACGGAGATTACACCCAGTTTTACCATGTACTTTCAATCAGAGCTGATGGTCAATCTGACATGATCGGCTCTTGGACGGTTTGATGGCAAAAGTTTGTCTCTGATCAACGCAATGATGCCAGATCACACAGAAATAATCCTTTGTCCATTAAGGACAACATGCTACCAAGAAATGATATTCCATTGCAAACTGCCATTAGCAAGTTTTGTGTGTTTTGATGTTCATTATGAAATGGATAGCATTGACGTTGAATTTGCTCTTAATGATTTGGGGAAAACAGGTGTTCTTCCCTAAATAATTCCATTGTTTATAGTTTTGTGGCTGATGAATTTATTGTGTAAAGTTATTTAGCAGTTGGTAAAGATATATTGTATGCTCAGTGTTTGGCTTATGATCTGATATGCTTGTGTAACACAAAGCCTCGAATCAAAACACTGTGATAAGTAAAGGTGGTGGAATCCATTTTATTTAACTCTCGATTTACTCACATTCATGTACAAAACATATATGTATATTTAATTAGACAACATCTTAAAATGAGTCATCTTAATTTATGTTGGTCAAATTTAAATTATATAATGGAACTTACCGGTAGATGGATGATTTTATGTATTTGTGGATTGTTATAGACAGAAGTTTCCATAGTCAATCTGAATGATATTCAATTAAATCTCTCTGCAATAAAGCCTCGACACAAACATTTAACTAGTCAAGACTAAGACTGGACCCCTGGTACCATATTTGGTGTCTTGTTATGAGATCATTATTTGTTTTTGTTGTCTTGTATTTTCTACATTTTAATAAAGCAAAATTTAGAAGTAGACAAATTGTTACCGAACGATGAAAATGAATTATGCAAGTTCCATGCTGCCTGTGTTAAATCTTGTTGAGCAAGCTTGTGATATTTATGCAATGTTTATTGTTAGGAAGTGCTCATTGTCTAGCTTAATGAAAATGAAATTCACTTTTGTTGTAGCATAATAAAAATTAAAGATGTATAAGGGTTTTTACTTAGGGAAAAATGAAATTGTGTTACGTATCTAGTGGCTGCTTGTTCGGCCTGCTGTTTGAGTTGTGTACAGATCTTAAGTAGCATGCTTGTACACTGTGTATGTGTCTTGTCTGTGTAGGATACAGATGGTACCGAATACACCAGTGTGGTCCTTTAAACAGTAAACTCAAAATGATAGCCACTGCATAAACATTTGACAGTATGTAATCAGTTGTTTGTTGTTATTTTTCAAGTATAAAGCTCAAGGTTTACAGTGAGCCGGGTTTTTCGCTGCTTTTAGCAATATCAGCGAGGGACATCAGAAATCGGTTTCACAAATGTCCTATATAGAATCGAATCTGGCCTTTGCATGATGACGAATGCTTTATCTTCTGGGCTACCCCACCGCTCAATTGGTTTACAGGTTGCAAAGGTTCCCAGTTCGCACTGATGGGTTCCATTGTTGAGTTACTGGGGTCCATGGTAAACTCAGGTGGTTCCATTGTTGTGTTACTGGGGTCCATGGTAAACTCAGGTGGTTCCATTGTTGTGTTACTGGGGTCCATGGTAAACTCAGGTGGTTCCATTGTTGTGTTACTGGGGTAAATGGTAAACTCAGGTGGTTCCATTGTTGAGTTACTGGGGTCCATGGTAAACTCAGGTGGTTCCATTGTTGTGTTACTGGGGTCCATGGTAAACTCAGGTGGTTCCATTGTTGTGTTACTGGGGTCCATGGTAAACTCAGGTGGTTCCATTGTTGTGTTACTGGGGTCCTTGGTAAACTCAGGTGGTTCCATTGTCGAAACTCAGTTACTGGGGTCCATGGTAAACTCAGGTGGTTCCATTGTTGTGTTACTGGGGTCCATGGTAAACTCAGGTGGTTCCATTGTTGTGTTACTGGGGTCCATGGTAAACTCAGGTGGTTCCATTGTTGAGTTACTGGGGTCCATGGTAAACTCAGGTGGTTCCATTGTTGAGTTACTGGGGTCCATGGTAAACTCAGGTGGTTCCATTGTCAAGTTACTGGGGTCCATGGTAAACTCAGGTGGTTCCATTGTTGAGTTACTGGGGTCCATGGTAAACTCAGGTGGTTCCATTGTTGAGTTACTGGGGTCCATGGTAAACTCAGGTGGTTCCATTGTTGAGTTACTGGGGTCCTTGGTAAACTCAGGTGGCTCCATTGTCAAGTTACTGGGGTAAATGGTAAACTCAGGTGGTTCCATTGTCGAGTTACTGGGGTCCATGGTAAACTCAGGTGGTTCCATTGTTGTGTTACTGGGGTAAATGGTAAACTCAGGTGGTTCCATTGTTGTGTTACTGGGGTCCATGGTAAACTCAGGTGGTTCCATTGTTGTGTTACTGGGGTCCTTGGTAAACTCAGGTGGTTCCATTGTTTACTGTTACTGGGGTCCATGGTAAACTCAGGTGGTTCCATTGTTGTGTTACTGGGGTCCATGGTAAACTCAGGTGGTTCCATTGTTGTGTTACTGGGGTCCATGGTAAACTCAGGTGGTTCCATTGTTGTGTTACTGGGGTCCTTGGTAAACTCAGGTGGTTCCATTGTTGTGTTACTGGGGTCCTTGGTAAACTCAGGTGGTTCCATTGTTGTGTTACTGGGGTAAATGGTAAACTCAGGTGGTTCCATTGTTGTGTTACTGGGGTCCATGGTGAACTCAGGTGGTTCCATTGTTGTGTTACTGGGGTCCTTGGTAAACTCAGGTGGTTCCATTGTTGTGTTACTGGGGTCCATGGTAAACTCAGGTGGTTCCATTGTTGTGTTACTGGGGTCCATGGTAAACTCAGGTGGTTCCATTGTTGTGTTACTGGGGTCCATGGTAAACTCAGGTGGTTCCATTGTTGTGTTACTGGGGTCCATGGTAAACTCAGGTGGTTCCATTGTTGTGTTACTGGGGTCCTTGGTAAACTCAGGTGGTTCCATTGTTGTGTTACTGGGGTAAATGGTAAACTCAGGTGGTTCCATTGTTGTGTTACTGGGGTAAATGGTAAACTCAGGTGGTTCCATTGTTGTGTTACTGGGGTAAATGGTAAACTCAGGTGGCTCCATTGTCAAATTTCTGGGGTAAATGGTAAACTCAGGTGGTTCTATTGTCAAGTTTCTGGGGTCAGGGGTTCAATTTTTTTTTAAAAAGCCACTTGCCACAGGGCAAGTGACTTTAAGAAAGTAACTTGTCCTGACTAATTTTCCACTTGCCCTGATTTTATGACATAATTATGATGATGTAATTATGAAAGAAGAAATCAACATGGTATTTATAGCAAAGAAAGATAACTCTACTTTATTATCATTGCAAAATTTAATAGCTACATTTTTGAGCAGATATGAAATGAAATCCAAGTTTATTTGCAGTTTGAAACCATAAGTGGAAATTATCTAGTAGCCCACAGACAAGTAAGATACCATTATTTGATTGCCCGAAATGAAAACTGACTTGTCCCGGGCATCGGGCGATGGGATTTTTTAACCCCTGGGGGTCCATGGTAAATTCAGGTGGTTCCATTGTCAAGTTTCTAGGGGTAAATGGTAAACTCAGGTGGTTCCATTGTCAAGTTTCTGGGGTCCATGGTAAACTCAGGTGGCTCCATTGTTGAGATTCTGGTGTCCAAAATACCTCAGTAATGCAGAAATTGTTGGAATTGTGGAAGTGGCATTGTGAAACCCCAATGAATTTCTGATTTTTAAATTTTGTGTAATGACCTCTTGCACTTTCAGAGTGGCCATCAAATTTAGGGCTCAGGATGAACAGTGTCGCAACATAATGGTATAAGTGATAAGATTCCTGAGACCAGACTATGTATCTCTCTACATTCTGGTGGCAAAAGCATACACAGGAAGTTGGGCTCTGCTCGCTGATTGTGATATCATCCGTGCATTCCTTCCCCTCTTGATGTGACGGAGTAGCCTAGTGATGAAGATATTCACCTGAAATCCCGGCCTAGAGATTCAGTTCCCTTCTACAAAACCTGTTGGTTCTCGATATTAGGGATGATGGAGCAGTCTTTATGGTGTCCAACCTTGTGTATGCAGATGATCCCTCCATTCATGGTCCTGTGCAAGAGATATGAGAAAGACTATTCAAGGTCACTGAAGTTGACAGCACGCATCACTGACTCCTTAGTAACATGATGTATCTAGAGATAAACCAGGTCACAGTTTTGTTATTTTTGTCTTCATCGTGAGTCACAGGATCTATTTATATTTTTTTCCAGATGACATTTCACTGCGAAGATGAAGGTCATTCACTGATTATACACGTACTGTATTTTAAATGATACGGAAGAAAAAGAAACAGAGAAAATGTTCTTTTCAATTCGAGTTTTAAAACCTGTATACATGTACATCTGACACTTGAAATTTGGCAAAATTTGATTTGATATTAAGAATTATTTGGCTTTTATATATCATCTCTCATATTTTAAATATATTAAGCCAAAATATATCACAAACTGGATGAAGAGCTACATAATTTTAATGGAATACAATTGTCATTATGATATGTGTTTAACCAAAGGAATACTTCTTAAGACCTTCATTGACACTTTGAAGCATTGTGCTATAACTGAACTGACTGACTGAGCTGAGTTTTGGTTTTACGCCACTTTTAGCAATATTCCAGGAACATCACGGCGGGGGACACCAGAAATGGGCTTCACACATTGTACCCAGCTATAACTGAAATATATGTACGAACAGGTTTCAAATTATTTAAATTAAAATTCTAATGCTTAAAAGAATGTTTCTCATACAGATAAGTTAATTTCCTGTAGTTTCCTTTTAAGGTGAGACCAATTATATTTCTTGTTTTACAGATCCACCTGTCGTATTTGTTCAAGAATAAGAAAAAAAATAAAAATTAATTTTCCCGCTCAAAAAAAAAAATCCTCATGTTTTTATTGGAAAAAAATGTAAACTTACAAAAAATATGTTTTTGATTGTTGTTTGCCCCATATGCACTTCATAAATTGCCAAAAATAAAATACTTACGTATTCAAACGGAAAATATTTTTGACCGGTGATTTTTATTTTCTATTTTTTTCTCTCTTGCCTTTAGGTTTTCTGAGGACAAAAATCCGTAAAACAAGAAATAAAATTGGTCTGGCCTAATCTTGATTTTATTTTATACTAATAACAGACACTCATACTAATAATTAGATCAATATCTCTCAAACTGAGTACATTTTCAAACCCTGTTCAAAGTGGCTTAAACCCAATTCACTCACTCACATACTTCATGACACTGGTTAGACATGGACCCATAACCCAAGTGGTAAATTATAGGATGCCTGCATCACTTGAAGCTTGTTCCCCCACATTTAGGTTTATCAATAAAATACTGAGAGAAGTGGTATGAAGCCAGACTAAATTCACATCTAGGGGCAGATTGCGAAGTTCGATTCTCATGCTGTTGATCACTGGATTGTCTGGTCCAGATTCGATTCTTTACAAACCGCCCCCATACAGCTGGAATATTGCTGAGTGTGGCGTAAAACTTAACTCACTCACTCTTCCTGAAGAGAAAAATAGTAATGCGACAACCATCCTGACGCTTAATCGGAGTGAGAAAACTAGGCTGTGATTGCATCATGTGGATCACATAAGTGCTACGGAAAACTTATTTTTACCATGGACATCGTTTCATGATTATTTAACCTTTCAAGGTTGGTCAGATGATCTCATTTTGATGGATGGTCTGACTGAATATTGTTTACACGTTTGTAGGCATTGTGTGGCACATGACAAGACATTTATTCATTAAAATGTCTTCATACAATACTGTCTAGGGCTATTTCAACAGTCACATACAATTTGCACACCTAAAATGGTGATCCTTAGAAAGATTTGAGCAGTATGTAACCAAGCAGAGCAGAGGTAGATACAAACTAGGCAGTGATGGCTGTATTTAACAATCTCAATATTGAACCAACAGTCTTTTTGCAGTGAGTAATTTCAAATACATCGACGACCTGTTAAAGAGAAGATGAAACGACAGAAAGGAATGTGAACTATGAATCCCATTAAAACTGAGTAAATACAAGGAGAGAGTGTTAGCTTCTTGCAGGTACATGCAGTGATCGCTTCACTAGACAAGAGGAGTGTGAAGTTGGAGAATGTCACGGTTTAGTCAACTTTCAAAGGCGACAGATTTGTGAATAAATCGGTGATAAATAAAGATTCCTTTTGTGTCTGATCATAGGGGTATGTCTGTATGACTTGGCTTGTCACATTGGGTCACTGGTTCTCCTGTTGCTGTGTTTCCCATCCCATCTCCCTGGGATAGCTGGTGCACCATCTGCACTGAAGGTTGGATCCAAAAAGATGGTGACCGCCTCCGTGGTGTAGTGGTTAGAGCGTCCGCCCGGAGAGAAAAGGTCGCGGGTTCGATCCCTGACCGCGTCATACCAAAAGACGTTAAAATATGGTACTTGTTGGTCCCTGCCTGGCGCTCGGCATTAATGGGTATAACAGTATAATGTGTCTGAGTGGGGTATTCATGCTTCACTGCGGCATGGTATCTCAGTGGGCTAGCACTATAAAGCAAGCTTAAGTCTGGGCTAGTACAAGCAGCCACACATACACATACACGCACATGCACGTCGTCATATGAGCGAAATATTCTCAAGTACGATGTTAAACCCAATCACCTCACCTCACCCAAAAAGATGGTACATGTTATTACCCTGCCTGGTACTCGGCATTATGGGTATAAAACTTGACTGGATCAGTATTCAGTGTATGAGTGCATTATCCATTTTCGACTATAACTCACTGGGCTAGCTCTATAAACTTGGCTTGAGTCTGGATGAATGCATTTGTTTGTTGTTTAACGCCACACTCAGCTATATGGCAGCAGTCCATAAATAATTGATTCTGTACCAGACAATCCAGTGATCAACAGCATGAGCATCAATCTACGCAATTAGGATACAATGGCGTGTCAACTAAGTCAGTGAGCCTGACCATCAAATTCCGTTAGTCGCCTCTTACAAGCATGGGTTGCTGAAGACCAGTTCTAACCAGCATCTTTGTCTCTGTACATGACTGACATGGTACTTGCTAATGTATTGTTCATATTGTTATTTTTGTATGAGTTATATTTCAATTTTATTGCATGAAATTTGTCACACTGACTTTTAAATTGTCGCGAGTAATGACACAACTGGTCATCACCAACAATCAGGTGCCTACTGTGGATTAACAAACAAGATTTCTCCTTGTAGTGTTGGAGGGAGTGAGTGAATTTAGTTTTACGCCACTTTTAGCAATATTCCAGCAACAGGCATGGGCCGTGTGACAAGTGAACCACTAGGCTACCCCACGGCCCCTGTAGTGTTGGAGAACAAGGTATATGAGTGGTCTGCAGTTTAACACAAAGGGTAACATGCTGAAGTTCCTGCATTCAAATACTGACATTGTGGTTCCTCTCCACTCAACATGCTAAGTCATCAATCTTTCTGGTAAATAATCCCATCTACATTGCTTGGTGTAAAGATTTAGAATCTTGCTGTATTTGTTGTTTTCTAAGTGTACATGATTTTGTTGTACATGATGTACCTCAATTCTGAAAATCAATGGATTTTTCACTAAATGTTCAGGAACTACTTTATAGGTACACCCGTGAAGGTCCGGGTTAGAATATTGATCTTCAGTAACCCATGCTTGTCGTAAGAGGCAACTAACGGGATAGGGTGGTCAGGCTTACTGATTTGGTTGACACATGTCATCATATCCCAACTGATTGATGTTCATGCTGTTGATCACTGGACTGTCTGGTCCAGACTCGATTATTTACAGACCGCCGCCACATAGCTGGCGTAAAACTAAAACTACAAAAAATCCAACTCCATTGAACAGCTCTTCCTTTTGCAAATTTGGCAATTGGTGTTGAATCATGTCTCCAAGAAAACTACCTACACTCCTTTACCAATCAAACTCTGTTGAACATTATTAATATTCTTAGTACCATATAGTCATGCTTGTTTATAACATTGACCCCGATTTGATAAGTTTAATGTTATTGTCCAATGTAATAAACTGCAAGCCCCCAACTGCGGAACATCTGCAGTATATCATTGCCACATTGAAGTCTTCAACAGACACATGCTCTTCTTGAAATATAATTTAATTTCAAACACAAAACATCTTGACAACCTGAAAAGCATATTCCAGAGTTTGTAACAGGACAAATGGCAGTAAAATATATACGAACAATAATAATCAGTAATGAAGCCATATGTTCCTGAAGAATTAGGCCTGTTCTTGGTGCAAATAGTCCTTGCAATATTGCCACATCTAAACATAAGCGTGATCTTAAGCATGTGGTCAGAATTTATTTTTGTCCCACAAATATATAAAGCTACATTGTCTCTGCTTTTACTTTGTGAATATGGAAAATGATCGATGTGTTTAATTTTGGTGTCAAATCAGTAAAAGTTGCCATGATTAGGAGACGAATGTAAACAGAACAATCAAATCAATATTTAATGAGTCAAGACACCTCATGTCCATGGTTACAATAATGACTGGTCGTATGAATAAGGCACAGCCGGCAAGTTGCAACATGATGCAGGGGGAGACAACTCGGGTTATCCACACGTCTAGGTAAGCTGCACCATGGTCTAAGGGAGACAACTCCATGGTTACACACACTGACTTCGTGTATAAAGTGAAGAAAACGCCTACAGGTCTATATACAGTTTATTTTGAAGTTTTTGTTTTACATACATACACACACAAATCTGGATGCTGCTGAAATTCTACGATGTGTTGCCTTCTAATTCTTGTTTAACTCCATACTGAAAAATAAATAAACAAATATCAATAAATGATACCAATAAGTGTAGCTGTTGAACAACATTGGGAAATACAAGAAAGTCACACCCTTAAATGTTGTAATGGCGAGTGGATAACCTGACCGTCATATTTACAAACAGGTGATGTCATAATGCTGAATCCATTTCACATAGCTAAGTTAGTTCTATTGTTTATCAACTTTAACTAATATTTCAACTGTCTTGTTAGTAGCTTGAGGGGAAAGTGAGGGAAAGGTTGGATGATTTTCTGTTAGTCTGCAATCTCAATTGAATCAGATTAACAAACAATACACATTCATCAGAGACGTAGTAAAACCTTTCGCAATTGATTATTATGGCCTGAAAACACATTCCACAAGACATACATAAATTTATGCTACATATGGTGTAAGTGAAGAAATGTTTGAGATTCTCACAAGGGCTGCTTGCAAAAGTAGTGTCAGTAATCACACTGCTACATATGGTGTAAGTGAAAAAATGTTTGAGATTCTCACAAGTGCTGCTTGCAAAGTAGTGTCAGTAAACACACTGGGTGTTTTACTGTGAAGTTGCCATGGTGAATTCACACTTGACTATAAATCATGCATCTGCATATGACACATGGTTTGCTTCAGATCCTCTATTAGTTAGTTCCCAGAAATATCACATATTTATGGAAGCAGATAATTGGCTTGATGGTAACTGACTATATATATTGTACAAAGGTTGTTTCTGTAACAGATATCTTTCAATCAAATTTCATAAAGTGTGAAATAATATGTGGGCAATTTACTTGAGACTAGTTTGAGGGGAGGCATTCAAGGCCTCTGTTCAAGATACAGGCAATCTCAATTTTCATGTCTTTTCAATACCATATAAAGTTCTGAGAGTCTGTCAGTAATAGATCTGCGACTGACGCCTTGTAATGCAGCCTCCAGGCAGACAGGCCTTACTCACCCGTTCTCTAAACTCTGACAGATCTCGTCTCATGGCATATGCATCTTCTCCATCAGCATAGTACTTGGGCTCGATCTCGCTGATCCTGCAAAAGACAAGTAGGCCAGTGAGTAGGACTTTACACACAACACAGACACCAAAACAAGGTGAGGTGAGGTGAAATTGGGTTTAACATCGTGCTTGAGAATATTTCGCTCATATGACGACGTGCATGCGTGTGTATGTGTAAGTGCGGCTGCTTGTACTAGCCCAGACTTAGGCTTGTTTTATAGTGCTAGCCCACTGAGATACCATGCCGCAGTGAAGCATGAGTACCCCACTCAGACACATTATACTGACTCCGAGCCGACCAGTCCTTGTTGTACTCATTAATGCTGAGCGCCAGGCAGGGACCAACAAGTACCATATTTTAACGTCTTTTGGTATGACGCGGTCGGGGATTGAACCCGCGATCTTCCGCTCTCCGAGCGGACGCTCTAAACATTACACCACAGAGGCGGTCCTATTAAATAGTGATATGTGGGCAGGTCAGATCTGGGTGAGTGAGTTAAAATTTAACATTGCACTGGCATATTTTCAGCCATATAGCAACTGGACCAGACAAACATGTGATTGATATTGTGAGTAACATCCTGTCAGGGTACAATGACATTTTTCTCTGTTTGTTGTTATCCCCCACCGAACGTTTAGCGCGAAGCGGGGGATATAGTATGAGGCTCCGTCCGTCTGTACTGCGCATGAATTGGAATATCTTAAGAACCGTTGACTAGATTCTTTTCATATTTGGTACCTAGGTTCATCACTGTATAAGAAAGGTCCAAGTCAGGTTTGGTGACCTTGACCTTAATTTCAAGGTCACAAGAGGACTTTAACGTTTTAACCTTGTCAGCGAGATATCTCAAGAACCGTTCACTAGATTTTCTTCATATTCAATACCAAGCTTTATCTAGGGAAGGCGCAGGGCCCAGTCGATTATGGTGACCTTCACATAATTTTCAAGGTCACTGCAACACTTTGAAGATTTCAGCATGTTAACCTGAATTCACTGGATTTTCTTCATAGACTTTCAAGACTTCCCTTGAATGTTTTTCAATAAGCAATTTCTTTAGTACCATTTTTGCATATTTCATACACTATGACATCCATGTCAAGGTCAAAGTCAGTCTTGAAAATATTTGTGTGCTTGAACAACTAAAGAGAAGATATCAAGAGAGGTTGACTGGTCATGTTTTTGTTGACATTTAACTTCATCTTAAACTTTCATTATTTTTAAGTTTGTTTTGATAATTTGCAGCGGGGGATTATGTCACCTTAGTGACAATGCTTGTTTAATGCTGCCCTCAGCAATATTCCAGTTATATGGCGGGGGTCTGTAAATAATCATGTCTGGATCAGACACTCCAGTGATCAATGGCAGCATCGATCTAAACAGTTGGGATTAAATGACATGTCTCAACCAACAACTAACAACTTGAGCCCATTATTTGCCTCTTACAACAAACATCGCTGGAGACCAATTCTAACCCAGAAAATGGCTACCCCATGAGTTTAAATAATAGAAAACTTGAATTAAACATATATATATTTAATTATCGCCATCAATTCATAAGAAGTCACAGCATGCCCCAATATACATGATATAAAACAATGCAGTTAAAGTGAGTCTGTAAATTTGCACGCTCCACACATGGAGACACTAACAACTAACACTAGTCCCATGTTTGGAACCAAACAGTAAAGAAACAAATGTTCAATCTTATGATATAACCCTCATATATCTGAAAATATTATTAAACTTAGTAACCATGGCAAATGAAGAACTTACGTAAACTTGAGTGTGTTTGTGTAGAGATGTAGAGCAGCTCTGTTGCTCTTCCGGACGTGGAGGGAGACGTACTGTGCATTGAAACATTCCACCATTGCACGGGATGCCTGGTCCATCAGCTTCTGGGCCAGGCCGAGTCGTCTGTGGGACCGCTTCACGGCCTACAGGGATAATATAACATCCTTCACATCAATAACATTCTTCACATCAATAACATTTTTCACATGTTATATTTGGGATTACACTTTCTCAGTAAAGTACAGATTCTAGTATTAGAATCTGTACTTTACTGAGAAAGTGTAATCTCAAATATAACATATGTTACATTTGACCACTTTCTAAAGTGGCATTGTGTATTTCACAACATTCTTCACACTAATAACATTAGTAACCATGGTGATGAAAGAATAACACCTGTTCAAGATGTGGGTCTATGGAAAATCTTATTATTATCTTCATACCAATAATCTTATTATTACTATACACACAAACTATCTACCTATAGATCTATACATATGCCTCACTTATTTAGATATTGTTATATGCTCAAATGTGGTTTATTTGTTCCCGGACAAGTTTATTCATTTGCTATTACACAGTGTTTAAAACTCCCAAAATTCCAAGCCAGACAGCCGGACTGGTAACTTAAAAAAATTACCAGTCTGGATACAAACTTGCCTGTCCTGTTTTCAACAATTAAAAACTGTGACTGCCATTTCCAACTCCCGCGCAAGCTCCATTCACTGTGTGTAGGCATAGCAATGAATTACATAGCACTAACAGGCAATGCACCGAGTTTAGGTAAAACTGAAAGTACATGATTGTGATTGGTTATCGTAACATGAACTGTCCAATCGTAAGTAGTTTAACATAATTATCATAATACCTTAAACACCTCAAACTGACGACAAGAGAACCTGTCTGATATTATGAAATATTTACTCTTAGGGGTAAAAATATCTACCAGACCACCGGACAGGCAACTTTTGAAATTTGACCGTCCGAGATGTAAATAGACCGTTCCGGACGGTCGGGCAGGCGGGTATTTTAAATGCTGTATTACACGTTATATTTGGGATTTATCTTTTTCAGTAAAGTACAGATTCTAGTACTTATTCGTCCTCTCGGGGGTTCAAGCTGATTTTGTACAACCTCAGCTGCCACGGAGTACAAAAAGTGTTTTGAATCATATAAAAAGACACTGAAGAAACCACTGACAGAATTACATGGTTGAAAAGCCACGGGTAACACAATGGAGGTGGATAGAGTTACTTCCCTTGGATGGTCACACAACACAACATGAAGAATGGCATTATCTACTATAAACACCATATGATCAGTAGTCAGATATTTCTTCTTGAGATTCAGCCCTGGTAGGGCTCATACAGAATGAGGATGAACAGCATTATAGAGATGATATAAGTGACTTTGTATCATGGTGGGAACATAATTATCTTCAAGTGAATGTGAACACTGAACAAACTGAATTTTAATGTAAACACAGATGCTATATTCAAGAAGTGTCAACAAAGGTTACACTTCTTGCACAAATTGAGATCTTTCCATGTTAATCAATCAATTATGTGTCTTTTCTAACAGTGCTTTATACAGAGCGTTCTGGCTTTTTCTGTACAATGCTGGTATGGAACCTTGTCCCTTAAAAACGTAAACTGTCTCACCAGAATAGTTTTATTAGCCAGTAAAATTGCAGGTGTATCTTTTGCTAACCTAAATGAAATATATGAAGAAAGAGTTCTCAAGTCAGCCCGTAAGATTATATCTGATGCAGATTATCCCATCCACTATGAGCATAAATTACTGCCTTCTGGGCGCCGTTATAATTTACCCCGTTTTAAATCCAATCGCGCCATGATATCCTTTGTTCCTGCCAGAATTAATCTTTTAAACAATTCCTAGTGGTTGTCTTACCTTGTTAGCTTGTTGCATGTGTGTTGTTTATTAAATGAAAATAATTTAATCATTTATCAATGTTTGAGCTCTGTACTTTATACAAGAATTCCCTCACGTGTAATAAAGTATTGTCATTGTCATGACAACAGGTAGAGCTACAGGTTAGGTCATACTTTTTGTGCTTATTGGGAAAGCAAACCCCACAAGCCTCAAGATGCTTCTTGTTGCACGAGTGTGGTTATTGGCTGTAATGTATAGATTAGATTATTTGCACGCTGCTGCCATATTGCTGGAATATTGCTGAGTGTCGCGAAAACACCAAAAAACAAACGAACTGTTGTCTGTAGTGCAGACTAGTGTTGGGAATTGGTGTAAATCTCATAATTGATGATTGGTTCATTACAACCGATCAATCATCGAAAATAATTGGTTAGCATCATTTATCAAACTTTCCTGGTTATGTTTGTTAATGCACAAAAAATAAAGAAAAACATGTAGTTCTCGGGTTTTTCCGCAAATTGCACAAAATGCATTTGAAAATTTCACATCTTTAAAGGATGACTAGTGTGTTAGGAACATACATTTCCTGGAGTTGTTAAGATAAACTTAATCATGACTTGGAACGAGCTTGTAGTGCTTATGCAATGTCGAGACAAAATCAACCTTTTGAAAAATATTGTTATTGCAAACAAGTGGTCCAAAATTGTTTGTGTTCGATTATGAGAAAACATGATCGATTGCTTGGTCGTTTTGTCATTGCGACCAATCTTCGATTATTTCAATTAATCGGACCACCACTAGTGCAGACCCTGAAACAAATATATTCAATACAGCCCGTGAAACTCTAGAATATGTGGCAAGTCAAGATAACCACAGTTTTAGGGTCTGTACAAATCTGATGAATTCACGCGACGACAGTGCTTGTAATTATCAGTTAATCTCTAGCTGTCAACAGCGTTTAGTATTAGCACATGGAAGCTCCCCAGAACTCCCCAAGACCCCAGACTGAGCCCAGACCTCCTGCTCCCTCGCTGGCCCCTGCCAATCTCCGTCCCCACTCCGACAACATGTAGGATTCATATAAAACATTGTGACATATCTCTATTTTCTTGAGTTTTAAGGGCGGTGGGGTAGCCTAGTGGTTAAAGCGTTGTCTCGTCACGCCGAAGACCGGGTTCGAATCCCCACATGGGTACAATGTGTGAAGCCCATTTCTGGTGTCCCCCGCCGTGATGTTGCAGGAATATTGCTAAAAGCGGCGTAAAACCAAACTCAGTCAGTCAGTCTTGAGTTTTATCATTGTTACTCTGGTAAGGAGAGGTGGTTGATATCTATTTCTTTTTAGGCATTTAGGGGTAAAAACAAATAGTAACATTGATGAGCTGGTAATGGAAATGAAAATCAAATATCTCAGATTTGTTAAGTCCCTGAAAATGAAGAAATTCTCTCGGTTCCTTGTTATTATATTTTAGGAACATAATTTAGGAACCATTTTTCTGTAATGTATGTTCATTTCAGAGACTAGATGTTAGTCTAGTGTGGTTACTGTCTGAATATTTAGCACATGAGGAGAATCCAGAAGGAAGGAAGGAAAAGAATAAATGTATCATTCCACCATGATCAAAGACTGTGTTACCATGGTTACGTACCAGAGATGTGATGTGTCCGTGTGGCACCGAGTCCTCCGGATCCTCCTCCCTAGAAAGAGATCTATCTAAACTCTTGAGGATATACACAAACAATTATATCATGTTTATTATTAAGACCAATTTTACCATAACTAACTTTCAGTGCAACAACAACAAAAGCAGCAGCAGCAACTACAACTGTAACAGCAACTGGACAATGCTGAACATTTGCATGCACACAACGTGTAGAGTATTTAGACTACCATGGCAGTTATTTTGGTGAAAACATCACATTAATATGATTTTGGATGTGAAGTTCTTTTACCATGATTATATTACCAAATTCAGGTAAAATTGTTGAGCATTTTGGAACTTAATCAGTCCATATACTAGAACATGCTGACCAAAGGATAAGAACACAGTCTGACAGTGACTCTCACACTTGTCAACACTGTAGTGCGAAATGGAGATGCTTACATTTTTGCTAGGACATATCCGACAACTTTTCCGTTTTCATCTTCGGCTACGTAGGACAACTGGAAGACAAAACAGGAATTAAAAACTAAATTATATCCAGTTACGATGTTTAAATTAAGCTGTTCATGTAAGTACAACCAGAAACTACAACTTTCATCTACAAAGATCAATGATCACTTTTTCAGTAATTTCACAAATAGAATAGATAGACAGCCAAGCCCCTAGTCTCACCATCTGATCCATTAAGTAGCCTCTTGCGATGAACAGAGGTTGCTGAATAGGCAATAGGTGGTGTACATTAATGCAGTGATTACAACACACTGTCGCAAAGTCCCTGTCCCACATTATTTTCCCTACTGCCTGGCACTCCCTGCAATTCTAAAGCCCTAAATGAAGAAAGTCTATATTTCCTCAGCTTCATCTCACTGGGGTGCCTATATTCAATTCAAATGGGTTTATTTGCTACTGTCAAAATTATATATATTCAGAGACTAAGCGTTAGTCTATGTTTGAAACTATTGATGTTGAATTTAAGGACCTCCCAACATTTTAACCTTTATCAGGTCAAAATAAGTACCCCCTTAACCATTCTAGCTGGCAAGCGGAAAATCTTGGTTGGAACTGATCTTCAGCCAATCCATGCTTGTTGTAAGAGGCAACCAACAAGATAAGGCTCGCTGATTAGGTTGATGCATGCCATTGTAACTCAAATGTGTAGATTCATGCCCATGACGTCAATCACTGGATTGTCTGGTGCTTAAATACCATGTTTACAGACTGCCATCACATGACTGGAATATTGATGGCTGTGGCGTTAAACAATGGACAAAACATTCTAGCATATTATTTAATTGGTATGGTGTTTTAATTCTAACCCAAAAGTGATTACATATCACCACATCTTGACTAATGTGCATCTTAAATGTATATAATCACAGGGGTGGAAATAACCCATTGCCCAACGCCCGAGTCCAGTGGTTTTTGTCTGTCGGGCGAGCAAATTTGTATATCACACTGTACCGGTGTCCAGTTGACTTTCCAATATTAATTATGTTGTTTATTTAAAAAATCAACAAGAAAACGGCCGGTATAGTGGAAAAATTATCAGGGCAAGTGATTTTACATGTGCCACTGTACCGGAGTACACTACCAATTTTAAAGTTATTTCCACCCCTGAATCATAATAATAGAGTGGTGCACCATATTACCTGTGGCCACGAGAGTCCATGATAGAAGTAGTATTTCATCTGATAGTTTTCTGGCAGACAAAGCAGGTTGCAGTGTTGCATGTTCATTAAGTCATCCGGCTGCAACATCAAGCAAAGCATTACCATAGCAACACAAACATAATGACTTGACACCAAATGCAAAAGAACCAATACACAAAATACCTGTGAGTGTTGCACAATCAGAGTCTACTCAATTGAAAATAGGTGTGTTAGGTCACACAGACATTGTGACAACGGGGTCACTGATGGCTTGTTCAAGAGAAAACGTTGTCTTTTATTTTATAGTAATTCGTGTGATTAGGGCGAATGTTTCTGAAGCAGGTTAAAAGAAACCGGAAACCAACAATACAAGGATACAAAATTCACTACAAATATAAATGATTTCTCGCGGCTCTCGGCTGCTAATTACCGTAAACCGCTCGTTGTACATACAACATTATATTTCCCGGCTGGTGTTTTCGGGAGTATGTTAATTAAGTTGTTTGTGTCAACCTGTTTCGGAAGCTAAAACTAGAACAAATGCTTTGCCTGTGCGCGAATACTGGGTGTCTGATAGAAATATTCGCACCATCGCTTTGGATGGACAATCGTTTGTTCCAAAGTGACGATCACACAAACGTATATGTAAATATCTGTGCGAAATTACTCACAGTGGCGCAGCGAATATTCATTTTGACCAGGTCTCCTCGATGTCCAAAACACAAAAATTCAGGATGGCATTAGCATGCGGATTCTGGTTGTCATAAAGAGGTCGCGTCTCCATGTATTTCACGACATATTGAATGCATATGTAAGTTTAGTAAGTTAAAAAGCGAGATGAAAGTCATCCCAGAACCAGAATCTGTATTTGATTCTCCGGCTCTCCAACATGAACATGCATTTTGGTATATAATGGTTTGCCGTATTTGTTACGACAATGGATGTATCAAGACCGATAACTCTTCCATAACTGCTGCTTGCTGAGGGATGTTAGAGCAGCTCCATTTCGAGAATAAAAACTTATCCCAAGCGCTAAAATCCTGAACCAGTCTATTCAGAAACAAGTATTGACAACTAGTCGAGGAAATGATTCATCTAATCTCCTGGATGTGCCCGTAAAAGGATAGCTATTTATTAGGATAACCTCTTTTTAGTCTTCTGATATCAGTAATCAGTGTCTAAGATATATATGATTCTTGATATATTGCTTGCGTAACTGTTTATTTATTTTATTTGACATGTGTGGCATTTAGTCATCATCCAAACATGTAACCGTTTACACATCTGGCATAACTAAACCAGTAAATGCCCCGAGAGGAGGTCAACACGATCTACTGCGCTTCTATCAAGGGACCGTGAAAGATAGGGACTGAATGCAAGGGAGATAATTCAAGCACACAACTGCAAACGCGGGTTGCATGCTTTTCAACTGGAGCACGAGCCGAAGCACGTGACTATTCAAGTTTGTTGTTGGCTGGAAAAATATAAGTGACATGTTCCTGTTGAAGTAAGTGAGAAGTACGTTTTAGAATGTTGGATTCCGTTTGAAATTGTTGTTAGTGACATATTAGATTTCAAGTTTGTCCCCCAAGACCAATTTCTTTTCAAGATGTAAGTTTGGGTCAGTTGTAAAAATGTTATTTGATGAACATTATGAACTGAGATGCAAGTCTGTTGAATTGTAATATTTCTATAAATGATTTTTCTCTCGAATATAGAGCAAATTATCAAATTAGAAAAGTTTAAGATAAATCATTGAATTCTTGAAAATCATTGATGAAGTTCATGAACCTGCACTTTGAACTGTCACAACTTACCCTACTCAGTGGGCTAGGTGTAGAGACCGCAAACCATTTTTGAGAGGTATAAATAAAACCTAACTTGGATACTATTTCCAATCTGATGAGTGAGACAAATGAAATAAAAAATGGAAAAAAATTTAACAAGTCCCCATACCCTAATTAGAGAGTAATAAAGAACAAGGGGCAGATAACTCTGTTCTTCACATAATTCAACAAATGACAAAAAAATTGGAAACTGCTGTTATTGACATTTTAAGAACCTTTTTATTCTGTTGATGCGCCGGAAGTGCTTGTCCCAACTGAACATAGACAGAAAGAAATTATTTGCAAATGATCACAACACTTGACAACACATATAAATTAGACTTTGATTAAAAGCACATTTAATTATTGACATATGAATGACAGCAGGGTGAAACATTTAAATATGCAATTTACCCCTAATGATAACTAAACTGGGCATTAAAGCCAAAAATCATACCCGTGGTCAGATTGTCTTCATATAGATCTGTCCTACTTTACAAAATTTACTGATTATATTATTCTTGTCACAGACCCCTATGAATGATGAAGTATTAACAGCAATAAGAACAAAAATATTTTGTCCATCTCTTTCACATTAATGGCAGTCTCAATGATTTCTTGATCAGACAAGAAACTTTACAAATGGGAGAGTGAGTTTAGTTATATGCCGCACCCAGCAATATTCCAGCTATATGGCGGTGGTCTGTAAATAATCCGAGTCTGGACCAGACAATCCAGTGATCAACAGCATGAGCATCCGTCTTAGCAATTTGGAACCGATTACATGTGTCAACCAACTCAGCAAGCCTGACTGCCCGATCCCGGTAGTCGACTCATACGACTCATGGGTGACTGAAGATCAATTCTAACTCACCCGGATCTTCACGGTGGAAACAAACAAAACAAAAATAAATAAATAATAATAAATAATGTGAGGAATTGTCGAAAATACATGTTTTGGAAGAACTGAAAGGCAACAGAAAATGTGATGCAGTAATGGAACATTTGAGTAACATTTGATGCAGAGTGACACAGATGTTAACATCAGTATATGTGATAATAATAAAAAATTATATTGTCTCAACTTAATTACTTCTCACAGGTGCCATAACATCACAACTTCACTTGCAGCTTCATGCAACTTGTTTCTAATCATAAAAGCATGCCAGGTTTCTGCCTGAAACCATTAGTTCATAGAACAATATGCCATCCAAAAGAAATGTTCCCTGTCGATCCATTCCACAGTGTTCAACTGAATTTGCACAAAATCAAAATCAAATGTCTCTGTGAGATGAATATTCAGAATAATCTGAATAAATATAAGAATTGTTGCTTCAAAATCGTGCAGTTAGCTCATCACGGTTTGTAGATGACTACCAGTTGGCGTTTTAACTCAAGAATACCAGCAAAGAGTAAAAATTAAACTTAAAATACCTGACAAGTAACACGTATCTAAGATAAACATGTCGGCCATCTTGGCCACGAGGGCGGAGTTTTCAACTTTTATTTATCGTGTCTTTGCGCCGCTTTAACGCTTCAAATGTAGTCATGGATGGTTTTAATCGTTTGTCTATACATCCAACTTGCGTTTGCCATCAAATATACATGCTGACAATGGTTATGTTTATGTATATACATTTACGAATATCTCAATGAAGGACGTTCACATCGTTCTGTCACTGTCCGACTGCAAAATCGCGGCAAATATTCAACTGTAACTGGTTTCAGTGGGCACCAAACCCGAATCGAATGTATTTTCTACCTTCACGTGTTGAAGAATGTTTTTTCCAATAGTGTTAACGTTGTGATAATAAACGTAACACAGAACCCATTCTGAAAACCAAAACCTGTTTCTATGTAAACACGCCACCAGGCGGCGTGATTGTACTTCCGATGCGGTCTCTACTAGGTGTGCCATTCTAAGGACTATATTTGCTGACACAATGGACCACAATCCTAAATAGGAAAGATTTCCACCTGTAACTCCCGTTTGTTTTTATCATTCTATGCCTAAGATTACCTCTAAATTCCACTGTATGAACATTGTATTTTTCAGGCCCATCCTTTGAGGTTTCAAGTATAAACTAAACAAGAAAACCTGCTGGAAGGCTGACACGAAGGGTGACACATGGTCCAACACAATGTGCGATGCAAGGGCTAACATAATGGTAACCTAAGATTATGGGTCAGTAAACCCAGCTTGTCATCAGAGGTAGGACTGCACAGTATATTACCAGTATATTGCAAGACGCTTTTAAAACGATACGTATTGCAATATTTTTTCTGAGAACCGGTATATTGGGTAAATAACATATATGAAGTTTTTTTTGTAATTATCTTTATGGTTTAAATTAAAATCTACATATACTTTCATTCACAGCAAATGTTTTCCTTTGTCATTCAATGGCAAAATGGCACACTGTAATACTGTAAATTGCATAAAAAAAAGAAAATAGAATCCATGACTATGCAACCTAATTTTGAGATTGCGGTTATCACATTAGCTGTTATATCCCAACACGAGCTGAATTCGACGTTCTGGTGATTTCGACGATTGCCTTGCTTGCGCTATATCGGGTGAGTACGTGAGCGAAAATTCAGTAAGATCAGTCGTCTGCTGGTGACAGGCAATATATAAATAGGAAGCCACGCGATCACAACTCGCAGTGCGGAGCAAAAAGTATGGCTCATCGTCGAAAACCCATACAAAATACCCAGATGTTACGAGCGGCAACAGTTTCGCTGATACGATGTCATCAACGCTATTTTTGTAGGAAACACTTGATATTTTTGTGTGAAATAGATGAATATATCCTTTATCACTCGAGGTTAGTAAAATAAAAACTTTAAATGATATTACAGATAAAAATTACGTTTTTATCCCACCGGCATATAATGCGGTGGGATATAGTCGTCGCCTCGTACGTCTGTCCGTCCGTCCGTCCGTCCGTCCGTCCGTCCGTCCGTCCGTAATCATTTTGTTTCCGGACCATAACTCAAAGACCGTTCGATATTTTTTAACCAAAATTGGTAGATATGTCAAAAATAACCTAAGGTGGTGCCTTTTGCTATTTACAGATAATTGTCATTTTTATTTTTCTCGGTTTCCATGGAAACGTTTTGGACTTAGTCTTAAAGAAGGGTGGGCTTCGTTTCCGGAGCATAACTCAAGAACCGTTCAATATTTTTCAACAAAACTTGGTAGATATATCAAACAGATCCTAAAGTGGTGCCTTTTGCATTTCACAGATTTTTGGCATTTTTATTTTTCCCGGTTTCCATGGAAACGATTTGGACTTAGTCCCAAAAGTGAGGGGTGGGCTTCGTTTCCGGAGCATAACTCAAGAACCGTTCAATATTTTTCAACAAAACTTGGTAGATGTATGAAACAGATCCTAAAGTTGTGCCTTTTGCTATTTGCCGATTTTTGGCATTTTTATTTTTCCCGGTTTCCATGGAAACATTTTGAACTTAGTCTCAAAAAGTAAGGATTGCTTTCGTTTCCGGAGCATAACTCAAGAACCATTCAATATTTTTCAACAAAACTTGGTAGATATATCAAACAGATCCTTAAGTTGTGCCTTTTGCTATTTGCAGATTTTTGGCATTTTTATTTTTCCCGGTTTCCATGGAAACGATTCGGACTTATTCCCAAAAGTGAGGGGTGGGCTTCGTTTCCAGAGCATAACTCAAGAACCGTTCAATATTTTTCAACAAAACTTGGTAGATGTATGAAACAGATCCTAAAGTTGTGCCTTTTGCTATTTGCCGATTTTTGGCATTTTTATTTTTCCCGGTTTCCATGGAAACATTTTGAACTTAGTCTCAAAAAGTAAGGATTGCTTTCGTTTCCGGAGCATAACTCAAGAACCGTTCAATATTTTTCAACAAGACTTGGTAGATATATCAAACAGAACCTTAAGTGGTGCCTTTTGCTATTTGCAGATTTTTGGCATTTTTATTTTTCCGGTTTCCATGGAAACGATTCGGACTTAGTCCCAAAAGTGAGGGGTGGGCTTCGTTTCCGGAGCACAACTCAAAAACCTCTCTATATCTT